TTTCGGAAATGAAGAAGTCAATTTAATTTAATTGTCAGTAATTAAATTAATTAACGGATGTTATATCTTAAACATAGAAATATAATTCGGTTAATGAGATTAATTAAATAATTGTCATTTAGAGGTTTGATTTATTGAATATATTGGAGCCAAATGGAGAAAATAATAATAATATTCTAGTGGTATATTTTATTATTTAATTCTAATTAGGATTTTACGAATTAATTTTATTTTATAAATAATATTTCATGATTACGAGAATATTCCTTCTAGAATATTACCTAAGGTTAGAGACTTAGAAGGTGACATGACCTAGTTGGGATTAATATATGAGGTAGAATTAGGATAAGGGAAGGTGACATGACCTAATTGGGATTAATATATGAGGTAGAATTAGGATTCCTTATCCCGAAAGTTAACTCAATGCACCTCCTTAAGTCCGTCATAGAGCATATAAATAGGCCATATCCAAACTTCTTCCCCTACTGTTGTTTGGTCGATTTTAAGGTCTTACAAGAGAGGAAAATCGAGCATACACATATTTGAGAGTTAGGGGAGTTAGGGAGTTTCGATTACGATTAATCACACCGCCAAAATCCCCCGGTGAGAAGATCTTCAGGATCAAGAGCGCGTGCAATACTGTCGATAAAGGCGCTGGCCACAAGAAGGGTATTTTCATTTGTTTTCTCTCTACTGTTATATTCTAATTTACTGTTCAATAGCGTGCTGTTNCTCCGTTTGATGTTTGTGCGCGTGATCTGCTGTTGATGTCCGCATTCACAGAACTCGTGGTGTTTAATAGTATTTGTCTGATCACTATTTTTTCCTTTTGGTTTGGTTCGGTTCAGTAGCCTTGATGAGATAGAGGATTCATCGATTGGTGATGTTGTTGGGTGAGATTTTTAGCGAGTGCTTGTGGAATCTGATTTTAATTACAGAAGATTATTGTGTGGTATTTTATCTGTTTCGTGATACATTTGAGCCTATCTATAATGTAATGCACTAGATGCGGGTTCTAGTTGTAACGATTTGGTTATATTCTTGGTTCATTGGATTATGGAGTTTCTTCCAATCAGCTCAGTTGCTAGGGCACATCGATTTGGTTTCATAAACTGGAAATATACATTTCTTACTGAAATAGTTGTGTATGCTATTGTTGTGTGCTCACATACATGGCTCTATGTCTATCTATGTTCTATTCTTGGTGAAGCATGCCATCTTGTATAACTTATTTTGCCTGGTTCTATTATGATTCTTTTGGCTGATGGTGTTGCCTTGTTCGTAGTTCTTACGCTTAGTTTGGAATCTTTGATATTTCCAGGTCCCAACATGGATGACCTTTTCGGAAGACAGTCTGTTACTACAACTGGTTATTTTTACTCAGCTGCCAACAAGAACAAGACCGTGAACTGGAAAGAGCCTACACTTTATGACTACTTGCTTAATCATAAGAAGGTACATCAATAGGACCAATGTGTTTGAGAATTGGTTTATAGAATTCTAATCTGGATCTATAAGTACCCTGTGTGAGCACTTTGAAGATATCATTTCATTTTATATTTATGGTAACTCTTTGTTAGGGCATGTGTGGTGTTTTATGGCATTTAAGATCAGGCTTAACTTTTCGCTGTGAATATGACCTTTAATGGTTCTTGTTCTGTCAATTCATGTAAAACCCGAGCTCTTGTGTTTGAGGTGATCTGCAAGTTTGATACGAAGAGTGTACCGTACATATACATATACTGGCTCCTATTATATTCCCCTCGCGGTTTCACATCTGATAGGAGTGTATTTACGAACAAGCTGAAAAAAAAAAAAAAAAAAAAAAAAAACTCTCCACTAGAATTGAAATGTATAACATGTATGGGGTTTTTCATTAAAGAGTTGCATGTGGCTTGGTATTTGTATTACAATATGCAGGAAAGTCCGTGAGTACTTAGGTATTGTGCGCACTAGTAGATAATAGTATATAGATAAGTAGATTAGGTAGCCCACAGACCTTACGGTATTCACAAATGTTGTTTTTTGGGTTGGGCTCTTTAGATTTAACTTTTGATTCAAATCCACTTTCCAATACTAAGCGTGCCGTATGGAAGCTAATAACATTGTAGCCACTTTAGAATGTAATTGGCGCATCTCAGCCACCATTCTCGTTCCGTGAAGATAATTTGTGCTGAAGATGCACGAGCTAGCCTTTCTGTAATTTTTTAAATTCTTATGCAAATTTGGTTTGGATTTTTAGGATTCTATGGCTGCAGAGGATCCGACGGCCGATTTCTCAGATTCCTCCTCAGTTGATTCGAATTCCCCTCAGGTAACTCTACTGCAATTGTTAAATAAATTGGGTTGAAAAAGGCTGCTAATGTATGTGTGTGTTTGTTTATGTATAATGTTTGTGATGTGTACGTATATGTGTGTGTACGTATAATGTTGTTTGTGATTTAGCCAAGATTTTGTAAAATAAATGGGTTTTGCAGGTTACTAATAAGAGAAAATATGTTGAGGATGAGGAGGATTTTGCCCCGGATTCCCTTGGTGTCCCCTTCTACTTCCAACCGCTGAATCCCCATGCCTTTGATGTATTTAATGAGGTACAATTTCTCTATTTTTCTGTTTATTTGTTTTTAAACAAATAGTGTAGAGAAGGTGTGTTGTAATTTATCTCGATTAAAAGTACAATCTTTTATATGTATGTTTATCTTCCAAGATACTACATATGAGGGGTTTCTTGTTACTAAAATCTTCCTATATATTTTTTGTTAGACACCCGGCATGGATATTTTGTCTGCTAAAGTATTCAAAGGTCTCCCAAAGCTTAAGGAAATGGTGTTGGAGATCCGAGAACGTCTCAACGGTGTTTTACATGGCGATGTGGACGTGCAGGCTTTTGAAGCGAAAGTAAAAGATCTTTTCAGCAGACCGAATTTCTTAGAGGCGGTTGATGAGTCTACCCAGGAGGTATATTCTAGTGCCATTTAGTGAGCAAAAAACTACGAAGCTGTCATTATATCTTCCTTTTTTGTTTTCCACAGAGTCAATTTTTGGTTGTGCCATTAGAAGAATATGCCAGAACAAAAGACGCCCAAGATCGAATGCTTGATGTTAAGCAGGATCCATCGTTCGAGCGATTTTTAGGATGGACGGAACCCCTTGATGTCATAAGGTAAGATGCCTAGTTTGTGCATTCAATGTTCGGCTTATAGCATAGAGCCCAAGTATTTAATCCAAGTACCTAATTTTATGACGGTTTGAAGGGGAACGTTGTGCATCCTGTTCGCGTACTGGAATGATAAGGAGTTTGATCGTATATTGACCGAGACAAGAGATGAATCTTGTAGACTTAGAATGGCTGCCAAAGACCGTGCTTGGACTCGGATTGAATGGATTACTAATAGTCATTACCAAGCTAATCTTAATGTAAGAGTAGATATCATTTTGTTGTCTCATTCAGCTACTCTTAATGTAGGAGTATGTATCATTTAGTTGGTTTTCAATTGGAATTAGTCAAGAAATCTTTGAAATAATGTTATTCTAAATATACAGGGCCTGAAACAAGCGTTGGCCGACAGATGCGGTGAAGAGTCTCATTTTTATAAGACTGCTGTTAAGACGGTATATGATTTGATTTGACGAATCAGCTCATTTTATCTTTATGTAGACTTGTGTCCATATTTTCTTTTTCTTTTTTTTTTTCATGCACGAAACATGTTATTTGTTTTGTGTTTTATGCTGCAGATCGAGGGAAACACAGCTTATTTTGAGAAGAGGGTCACCCCATCCATTCACTTGTTAGATAGTGTTGCAAAGGGCCATGAGATTGTCACCATGCTAGTGAAATGGTGTGCTGATGACATCTTTTATTTGTTTGATACTTGTATTAGAGTGATCTCTTAGTTTATGGTTGTGTTTTTAAACTGCCAACTTGATGTCTGTAAATATCCTACAGTGGTCCTGCTTTATATTTTTGTGCTTATTGTTCTCTGGATCCTGATTATGTTGAATTTTGTGCCCACACTTGAAAGAGCAATTTTAAGGTTTTATGTTATGGTGATACATGCAGCTTGTGGATTTTGCATCTCTACACCGCTTTTTTGCTTTATTATGTGCATTATATAAGTTATAAGTGACACCATAATTTAATTCCAATATTGGCTTTTTGCATTTTTTCATCACTTTTTGCTTATGTGTGTACTACTTAAGTGCACAAAAATTTAAATATTGTTGGGCTATTACTAGCCAATTATAAGTTTTCAATATATATGCATTCTTTGTTCTTCATTAGATGTGCATTTTGTAGTGCCCTGTTTAAGTAATAAGAGTTGATTTACTAATATCTTTGTGATGAATAGCTTGGTGTATTTATTTTAGTCGCTCGACTAAATTATTCGGAATAGCTTTTAGGCTTATTGAGATGACCTCGTATTATTTAGTTATTAAGCTAATAATTTTTTAATAGTAGACGTGTTCATCTACTTATCGTGAGATCGTTTTTAATACTCTGTTCACCAATCGAAATTAGCACAAATGTTTCTAAGTATGAGTTGATCATGGAGTACCTTTTGATTATCTAATTTTACTCATATTTGAGATATTGAGCCTAGTGTTCATTTTGGTATTGGCAAACATCCCTTTTGCAAATAAATCATGTAACCGACATTTGCTCTTAACCTTTAATTTAAAAGTTCTCGGCTATATCTTCTAAGAACCGAATGGTTCAATTTTTCCAAGCCTTGCATCTTTGGTAACTTCCAACCTTAAGATCTTTGAGAAAATGACCTACCATACGGTCGCTAAAATTTGCATTTCCTTATTGACGAGATAATATTTTTATTATCAAATCTAATTCTTCATTTACATAGAAACGAGGTAATGCTTATCCAAACTCCAAATTTATCATTATCTTTAAATATTAAAATTACTTCAACTGATAACTGTTCATCCCCATTTGTTTTCCCTCTGTTTCGTCCTCCCCATTTCTTTCTTGCAGAATAGAATAAAAATTAAAAACCAAACACGCCCATCCTCATCACCTGCAAGCACACCATAAGGTCCGATGCGATGGAGGTGGCCAACGGATTCGACGTCACAAGAGCTTCTCGGCCTTCACCACGCACTGCAGGCGGGAGGTTTGCATCCTTAGCGCTATCGGAACCGTCGCCAACAGCACCCTCGATTTGAGATGTACTCCATGTCCAGCTCCTTCCTCCCCGCTGTCGGCGCTGCCTGCTGCCTTGAGGCTCAACTTGTAACCGTCTGTAGATCAAAATTGCGGTTTACTAATTTAGGGTTCGGCAAAATTTGGTTTGATATATTGGAAGTTTCATTTGATTGATGTTTAGATCTGTAAGTTGTTGAGATTTGTTTTTAATTTCTGCTCAATTTTCCTTTGCTATTTGAAACATTAACTTTGAAATTATTGCCATGACTGAGAAATTTGGTCGGATCTTTAGTCCAGCGGATAATTTTCCTCAACTCTTTGGAGAAGAAGCGTTGAACAAATCGTGAATGTTAATTGTTTCCTCAGTTTAATTTTTTAATATCTTTTAGTATGTGATATATTTGTTACTTTGGACGATTTGGAGTGTTAATTTGAGGTTTATCTACGGTTGTTATGTTAATTTGATGTTTATCTATGGTTGTTAATTCGTTTTTTTCATCTTATTTCTAGTTTATATTCAATTTTTATTTTTATTTTTTTTGCATTCAATTATTTCATTGTTTTTTTGTGATTTAGTTAAAAAACAGATGATAAACTTACGATAATCAAAAGNCTTAAGATAAACTTAACATAAACAAAAAAAAATTATAGACAGAATTGATGTCGAATTGATATAGAGAAGACACTGGAGTATAGAACTGGAATGATTTTAAATTTCTCGTCCTTATGGAAAAGTTTTTTTAAAGAATCGTCACCACGTTTTTGGTAACATTTAAGTGAGCAAATTCCATCATCCTTTTTTCTATTTTGAAACCGTCCAAATCTTTTGTACATGCCATTGCGAAAAAATTAAAAAACAATTTTAAACAAGTTATACCCCATGCATTTGCACGAAAAGTGATATAATAAAAGAAAAAGTAATTAAAATTATAGAATAAAATAAAAATCATAACTATAAATGAGATAAAAATAATAATTCGAAAAAGTGAATCTAATATTATTAAACATTTTTGTATATACAACATTCGTGGTTTCCTGTTGTCAGAATCCTCGTCAAAACAAATCATTACAATTAAACCCCTTCAACTCGTGACTCTGAAATTTGATTTTTTAAAATATATAATATATCTTTGTAATATCCAAAAAATATTTTTGTATTATTGTACTGCAATGGAAAATAACAATATATGTAGTCATTTTTAATTAATTGTGAAATATGTATTTGTATAATACCAGAATATATATAGTATCAAAATAAAAATAAAAATATTTTGTATTTCAGAAAATAAAAAAGCGTACAGAGATGGTCGCTTTCCACAATGGGACCTGTCAAAATAAATTGTGTAACTGAAAGTTACATATTTATATTAAATGGTGAACATATTTTTATTAAATGAACACCTATTTATATTAAATGAACTCATATTATTATTAATTCTGGCTAAATAAATTATTGAAGTTATATATATATATATATATATAGAGAGAGAGAGAGAGAGATTAAAGTTGTAACCTTCGAAGTTTATGGCCATGCATTTATCACGTAATGATCTCTCTTTAATCTCAAGCTAGAAAAACCCAATTGAGCCTTCACTTTACCTTGAGGAACTTAGCAAATTTCAAAAATTTTCACATCTTTCTCTCTCGCCATTTTTCACTCAAGCCCTTTGATATCTCTCAATTTCATCATCTTCCCTTGCGAGCCGTGCACCACCTCATAACGAGTGCCGATGCATGTAGAGCCGAGGACGTGCGACTTGGGAAACCCACACACAACCGCCAAGGGAATTTCCGTGAGCAGCAATCACCGAGACCTTGCAACACGCAACACCGAGCCGAGCGTAGCCACCGAAGGACATCCGCGATCAGCTGCTAAAACGCCGTTACACACGAGCCGCCGCAACATTTTTGCCAGGTTTTTGAACACGCGAGTAGTTGGGTCCACTCAGTGCCGAAAGCTAGCCGAGACTTATTCAAAAACCCGAATTTCGATCCTTTTCAACTGGGCTTGTAGATTCTAGAAGATCGGAAAATACTTCTAGGCCTTTTGAGATTTTTTGTTAAGAAATCGGTTTAGATAATTTGGATTAGAAAGTTGATGATTCTATGTGAAATTTTGTAAAATAAGAACTTGGTGTCCTTATGTTGTATTTTGTGGAAATAAGGAGCTCTTTATACCAAGGTTTTGAAAACTGAATTGGTCATCGAACCGTGAAGCTATCGGTTCAATGGTTCATTGGTCGGACCAATGGTTGAACCGGTCGAACCGATTTAATTTTTTATTTATTTTATAGGTATAATATATAATTGTACATATTTTTATCATTAGTTTTAGGCATAATGGCGGGAAAAATATACGACCTTTACGTGTTTGACCATTTAATCACCACCTTTAGACCTTGGTAAATAAATACATGATCTTTACATTTTTGGCAACCTGATACATGGTTTTAACTGCTGTTAACGGGAATCCTACGTGGCTTTTAAAACTGACGGACACACCAAACAGACGTCCGAGTCAGCGCCCAGGTGGTAGGATCAGGTACTATAAAAGTTGAATCTGCCCCTATTTTTGCCCAAAATCTTCATTCCCTAAACTTGAACCTAATGTCATTTCATTTCGCCCAAAATCGCCCCAAATTTGCACTTAAATGTCGGCAAGTTCGAGCTCAGATTCAAGGAGATTCAAATTAGTATGTGCACGTGGAGACGAACCAGGTATATTCACGTCAAATACCGACCTCAATCCTTGTCGTCGATTTCGATGTTGCATCAACCCAGAGGTGACTGTTGCAATATGGTTTTTTGATTATGTTTTGTGTCGATATGAGTGCAATTGTGCCGATATGACTGCAATTTGGCGTAGTTTTTGTAATTTCATGCGTGGCCGATCTGAGATGAACTGACCTGTTCGATTTGAAGTGCGAGTTGAATTTGATGAAATGAACTCAAAAAATACGAGTTGAGTTTGAAATTTCAGTTTACGATATGAGCTGAAAAATTTTGGCTTTATGACATGAACTTAGTTTAGGGTTTTTAGATTGTGTGATTTGTTCTAATCCTTGCTCATTGTAAAAGAAATCCTGTAGATGCTTTTCTTGGATTGATCCGGAGCTTGGACCATTTCAGAAATCATGTTTTCTGAAACTGAAGGTTGATAAGACATTGTTGGAGGAGCAATTAAAATGCAAAGAAGTCACTGTAGTAGCAATGGCTGAGAGGCTCTAATTGAAGAATGATGAACTATTGTATCTTAAATCCAAAGTAAATGACTTGGAGGAGCAATTAAAATGCGAAGAAGTTACTGCAGTAGCAATGGCCGAGAGGCTAAATGTAACGCCCCGTTTATTTGTGGATTATTTGGGATTTATTATTATTATTTTTATTGCTATTATTATTGTTATTATTAATTGGTGATAATATTTATATTTTATTTTATTGAATGCCATTATGTTTATTTATTTGTCAAATGTGATTAAATGCTAATTGTGAAATTTGTTTAATTGTTTAATTGATTTTGTGATTTATTAAATTATTAATATGAATAAATGTGTATGTAATAATATGTAATATATATATATATATATATATATATTTATTTTTTGATTTATTTTTATCGAGCGTTTGCATTCGAAATCGAGCCCGATAATTTTGTTGGAATCAAATTGGGCCCGAATATATCTGTTTAAATTTTTATTTGAGCCCGTGAGCTGCTTTGTTATCCCAACCGGCCCAAAAATCCTATTGGCCCAAGTTTCTCGGGCCCGGCCCGACAGATTTCCTTTTTCTTTTATTTTGGACGTGATTCTTGTGTTGTCTTGAACAACAAGATTTTCTCTTTCTCTCCTAAACCTATTACATGTATAAGTATATATGTATATATATGTACATCACGTTTTTCTCTTGGCCACAAATCCCGCAGCTCGATCCTCCTTCACAGAATAGAAAAAAAAAAAAAACGATCGCAATTTTTGTTCTTTTTCTTCCTCTGTGATTTTTCGATCGACATCATCTCCCTCATCACTATCGTTCTCTCATCACCATCGTCATCATCACCATCTCATCCCGCTGGTCATCGATCGTTTTTCCTTCATCCCCATCATCACGCTCGCCCTCATCTCCGGTGACACTCGCGCCGCCGCAGCCCGCCCCAATTCCGGCGACCTGCAACTTCCGGCGAGTTCGGTTTCCTGTGAGCAGCCACGACCGCCGACGAGCCCTCCTCGCAGCAACTCGCGCAGCGATCTCCGACGACCCCTTGCAGCAAGTTCCGGCGACTTTTGTTCGTCCTTCGAGCAGCCCGCGAGCCCCGACGACGTGACCACTTCCGAGCGTGATTCTTCAGCGACCTAACAGCAGCATCCCTTCTCCTTCTCAGCCGTTGCTGCACCTTCTATTCCGGCGAGACGCGAGAATCCGTCGAGCCCATTCGAACCCTTCTCGCTCGTTTTCCCGAGAACGGTATCGATACTCGACTTCTCGTTTATTTTGCGTTATTAGCCTTGTGTTATTATGTCTTGCGGTTTCGCGTGAATGTGTGTGTGTTCATGTCAATTGATGTGTTTGAGTGTATTCATGTTTAATGTGATGCTATTCATATTATATTGTTATGATTTTATGTGTTCGTATGTTCGGGATCTCTTCGATTTTCTCAAAAATCGAACGAGACCTCAAAAGTCGTGTAAGTCGGTGGATAATGGAACAATGTCGAGTCCTTGGTCTTATGAAAAGGCCTCGGACGATAAATTGTGTGTTGTGATTCAATTTCCAAATAGTCGAGCTTGTTAATCGCTGTTTTGATGTTCGAATTTTTAAAAATAGCTCGCTGCTCGAGACGATGTGAAATTTTGAGGGATGTGTTATCTGTTTGTTTCCTGCCTTGTGTAAAATTTTCATAATTTTTGGAGACCTGTAGCTATTTTTAATAATTAGATTGTGTTCTGTCCAGAATATTGTTAAATGCATAATAAATTCATTCCTGACTAAAATGAGCTGAAATTCGAATATGTCATGCCTCTGTGACTTATATGTGTTGTGTTAAATTTTCAGAATATTTGGAGTTGATTTGATATGGATAATATTTTATTTATTGATTCTGCAGAATTGTTGTTTGAATTTTTAAAAATCGGTTACTGCATGGAAAATTTTGAAATTTTACTGAGAGTCATATTTTAGGTATTTGATCATGTTTGTAAAAGATGAGAATTTTTAGAGTCTGTTTTGTTTCAGTTTGGGTATAAATTCGATAAACTGCTGTTGTTCGTTTGAATTTTTAAAAATAGCAAGAGTTATTATTTACGGCTGAAATTTTTATAAGAGGGCTTTGGCATACTGTATGTTGCTGTGTAAAATTTTCAGGTTCAGAATCATTCATTAAGTCTGAGTATGGATTAATGTGCCCTTTTTGCTGAATTACTGTTTGAATTTTATAAAATAGGGTATGTTGAGTTTAAAGCTGAAACTTTGTGATTTTACATGTTTCTTGGAGATGAAATTTTTTTATAAATTTTCAGAGCTTAATTCGTGGGTAGCTCGATCAACTATTTTTCACGCGATTAAATGATTTCAATTTTCGAGCATAATTGTTATGTGGAATTTGGATCGACTTGCTTTTAGGTTTTTATGAGAGTTTGACTTGGTCAAACCTTAGATGGATTTTTGTGAACTCCCTTAAGTGGTTTGGTTGAGTTTAGTGCCGAGTCTTAGTGTTCCACATCCACAGGACTTCACGAACTACTTAGTCGAACCGAGTTCGACTAGGTCTGTCTTGTGATTTCTGATTTAAGTCGAGATAGATATTCATTGTAGAATCTTGACATAATGTAGGTGTTTGAGGAGTCAAGCCTCAGTCCTCACCTTTTCTGATTTGCTATCATCAACCCGAAATTTCCAGGTGGGTTATTCTAAAATTACCTATGCATATGTGTGATTTAAATTGTGATGAAAGTTTGGTGTGATCTATGTATGAAAATGAACATGTAGCCTATCGATGTGAGCTTGATGGCCGTCGATACGGTTGTCCCCGTATGATAAGATACGGTTACCCTGTGAGGTAAATCTCATAAGACCTATGAGAAGGCCGTGTCATTGATGTGGCACACACTCCCATGTTTCACTGATATGGCATGGCTTAGCTTTGATGAGCATAGATGTACATGAGTGAGTCTTTGATGAGACTATAGTCATTGATGTGGCTAGATATGTGACATGATTTTATTGTTTATGTTCATGCTGCGACCATACCATTATTATGTTATTCATATGCATAGTGTGAGTACGATAGTTAACTGTACTCACTCCCACCTGCTCGTAACTGATGCAGGTTAAGCAGTCGGCGGGTGACGAGACAAGACGGGTGGTGGTCATGCTTTTATTTATTGCTTATTTATTTGCTTCCGCTCATTTAGGGAACTCATGTTGAGATATTTTGATTATGTCGTTTTGAATTTGAGAATTATGAATTGTATTTTATGATTTGGAACTTAATGAATGCTAGTGAGGTTTATGATTTAATATTCGAGCATGCTATCTTTCGTTTTAAGGTGGTTGCTTTTTCGGATAAAGGCTTTTGGTAAATTTGAGTAGCGCCCACTGAGTTTTTAATTAAATTAAAGTTTGCGAAAAATTTATTGTGATTTTTATTAAATAAATTCGATAAATTCTTTAAAATAAAGTGGGGCGTTACACTAAAAATGAAGGAAGATAACTTTTGTATCTTAAATCCAAAGTAAATGACTTGGAGGAGCAAGTACAAGTATTGTCCAAGAGAAACATCTTCAGAAACCTTATTGTGTGTGTGTCAGTAGTGTTATTTGCTGTTTTTCTTTTTTCCTTGGGTAAAGGGGAAAATGGTTGATTGATGTTCTATTAGCTTTAAGTTTGTAACTTCATCTCGGTTATGTATTG